TCGGCACTGGTGCGAACTTTCAATAAGCCATGAACAGACATTTATGATATCCAAAAGTAGACAAAACACAGAGTGATCAAGAGGTAGAGAAAGTAAAATGGTCACAAGAAATCGATCTGATCAAAACCGAAAACTCAGATCAACATGATCCTCTAGTATTCTTTATTAGTCAAACAAAACCAACTTGTATGTACAGTTGCAACGAGTGCATTGTCAAACACATGAACGGAAAGAAAAAGAATACGTTCACCAAAAAGAAGATATATATAATAGACTAAAAGATAACAACTAAAACAGTTCACGAGAAAGAAAATACTGTTGATGAGTGCTTCAAACTCGGAACTAGAAGATCACAAAGCGAATACATTATAAGAGCAGGTCGTTGACTAATCGAGCATCTGTTGTTGTGGTTCTTGTGGGATGCTGAGTAGTTTCAGTTCATTTGGCTTGACAACTTTCAAGAGAAGATAATTTTCAGTGAGAAAGCAAGCATTTACTATTTCACCTTGTAGATTTTTCGATAGTTTTCGTTCATATCCATCTTCTTCTCGTCCACTAGCTAATAGCCAAATATTCTTACTCTAAAATACAAGAGAAGTGAATCAGAGACACGACTCCAACATATTGAACATCTATGTGATACATGTTTAAAGAAGTGATTCCATGTTGTTCCTAAATGATTCGTTCTGAAAATTTCATCTGTTTCACGGAAAATCTATCTACTGAACCAGATAGATTCCATTGAGGAGGAAAAAAGTTCCGGAAATCCAGAAAATAGTCGCAGAAGGATTAAAAAGTTATTTATATACAGGATATTGTACTTTACAAAATAGCGACTTTGTTTATAAACAACTGCAGATTTCGGCCATCTTTTAAGGGACAGTGCTTAAACTTTGAGTTTAATGTGTACGTGACAGTTTTTAGGCCAAATAACTCTTAACCAGTACCTGCACAAATAGCCAGTGATTGGCTTGTTTTGGTATAAAGATTAGACGTGGTGAGATGCCGTTATTCAATACTCTTATCCCACTTAAACCACGGTGAACACATTGCATATCAAATGTAAATAAATCAATACGCCACTTTTGATTTCTCAACACACTTAAAGCTAAATGATCTGTTGATGAACATCGAATATCACGAACTGATTCATAGTCCAAGCTAGGTCGCCGACGTTGACTACTATCAGCTAAAATATCAATTTTTGACCAACGATCGGCTAACAAATAGCCATAAGGTCCAATGACAGGCATAAATGAGGGTCTAAAACAGACAAAAGACCACTGTAAGCTCCTTTTCTACGATTTGCGTCTACCTACATAAAAAGGAGTCTTTGCATATTTAATTTTGTGATTGTCCATCGTTCAATATATTTTGTTTCTTGATAGAGTATAAAGATGTTATCCTGTTTAGATGAAAATGTCATCGATAAATAGAATTCTTGACTATTGGGAGGCTTAATTTCTTGAATTTTATCCAACGTAAAATCGTATGGATTTAAAGTAAACAATGATGTTTGTGTCAAAATATAAAATAGTTTTACGTGAGAATTATGTTGTATATCAACAATTTTATCATTTTCTGTTGACCAATCAAACTCTTTCATCAATTCTGTGTCCAAAGTAAGTAATTCTAATTTTGAATCATCAACATTTTCATTCAAAATATGTTCATCAGATGATGTTAACGAATACGAAATGACAGGAACACTAACAAAATAAAAATAAAAGATAAAATAATTTAAAAACAAATAAATCTAAAGAGCAAGGTAACAAAGACTCTTTTTACCGATCAATTTTATATAAATTATCGTTTTTATCTGTGAAAACGAATGGTTTTCCAACTTCAGAATTTTGTTTTGGCATTTGAGTTTCGCCACTATCATTTCTAATTAATTTCAAATTTCCTTTGATCTTCACTTGATCAAAATTAAATTTCAATAATGAAAAATTCATCATATTTTGTTTGATTCGCTCATATACATTGGTCATTTCGTTCAATTTTTCAGAAGAAATTGGTTGTTGATTATTATACAAATCATATTTGGATAATATCGATGTTTTAAGTTCTTAGAAAGAAGGAAAACAAGCCATTAGATATAAAACATTAAGAATAAAGAGAAAATTGTTTACAGGATCGCACTCGATTTCTGTGATACCTTGAATTAAGCTTATAGTTGAACAGAATGGCAGGCAATCGTTTGTGTTGTTTACTTAGAGCACAATACAAATTTTTTTAAATATCACATATCATCGGATTAGGCAAGCTCTCCCAAAACCATCATGTCCTATATTTTCAAAGAAAGAAAGTGGTAGTTGCTTAGGATGAATATATAATTAACAAAGACATTTAGCCGATAAAGAAAAATACAATACATACATGATCTATTTCCCACTTCTATCAACATCATTCATTTCAGGTAGACGAGATCTAGACATATATTTTGATCGAAGTGTTTAATAAAATAATTAAATAATATTTGATTTCTTACCGTATATGGCTTGTTCTTTGATTCTATCATAATTTTGATCGATATTTTCAAGTTCACAGAATGCTCTTTGATACATTCGATCAAGTTTAGTCTCCATCTCTACTTTCCATTTTTCTAATTTTATTTTTAATTGTCTAATATTATCATCCATTGATTTCTGACTAATTGTACGTATAAGTTCATTGGTACGATAATTCAATTCTGATGAATTAAATTTTATTAGTTTTTCATGACGTGTTAAATGAGATAAACATAAACACAACTGACAATGAAAACAATAGGCAAGGGATACTTCGGTACATCCATCTTGATCTTCACATGTCTTAGATATGGAAGAAGAAACGAATGATGATGAGGACATCTAAAAATAAACAAACATAAGAAGTACAGATAGAATAACGACGAATGTATTAGGAAATAATGCCAGCCTTACGTATTGTGCATGAAGAAAAACTTTGTGTATTGATTGTCAAACAACAAAACCAGTAGAAGAAGCCAATTTAATTTTTATAAATAGTCGAAAATTGCTTTATACTTTTAGCAAATCAAATAGTTTAACCTACTTCAATGTATATTCAGAAAATTCAAAGTAAAACAAGGGTTTCATTCGTGATCGTCAGTGATATTAACTGACCTATAAGCAATGTATTCTTATTTGTAGAATTGAAACCGAAAGGGTAGGAATTCTGGAGTGAAAATCAATGTTCAACATAGTTTTGAATTATTATGAAAAAATTTCTTAATTGGATATTTTATCCTGCCAAATTAAAAAGTGTAAATACTTCAGCTCTAAACGTTATGATAGTAAAGCAAGTTAACAATTATATTTAGTTCGTTACTTCTACTATGGATACAAACTTTTAGGCAGTAAATTGATCTTTATTTTATTTTGCTTCTCCTCTGCATCTTGTTCTCATTATTACAAAACAAATACAGATTTTTTACAAATAAAAAAAGTCAAAAACAACAACAAAAAACAACAGATAGAGAAGCGGCTGCTGCTGTTGTTTTCTTCTTTTTCTTTTGTGTGTGTGTTTCTGTTTTTATAATCTTCTTCCACGACGACCACCTTTCTTTCTTGTACTATCTGATGGAATTGGTGTAACATCCTCTGGAAAAAAAGAAAAACGAGCAGTGTAAACAAGAGCCTAGAAATACCAAGCGAATGCAGAAGAATTTAGTTTTAGGGACTTGTCTATACAATTTAAAACGTCATAATATGGAGCAGAAAATTTTAGTACATAAATGCAGACAAAATAGAGCGATAGATTGAGAAGAAAAAGTGGTTTCTGTTATTGAAAACACTTTTACTCTACTACGTACCAATTCTTCCAATTTTTAATCCACTACGAGCCAATGCTCTTAAAGCTGATTGTGCTCCAGGTCCCGGTGTTTTAGTTTTATTTCCACCTGTCGCACGTAATCGAATGTGTAACGCTGTAATATTAAGTGCACGACATCGTTCAGCAACATCTTGAGCTGCTAACATAGCCGCGTATGGACTGGCTTCATCACGATCAGCTTTTACTTTCATTCCACCTGTAACACGAGCAATCGTTTCTCTATATAAAAGAAATAAATAAATCAATAGCAATACTGCAGAAAATATAATCAGAACGCGTCTGCAAATTTATTAGAGATTCGCCTTACTTTCCAGATAAATCGGTAACATGAACAAATGTATCATTGAAACTTGCATAGATATGCGCAACTCCAAAGACAATTTCTCCATCAGCCACTTGTGGGCCGAGACTAACTTGTTCTTCTTTTTTTTGAGTTTGACCTTTTCGGGGACCCATTTTTTTCACTGCACAAATAAATTAGATGTGGATGAAGTACTTTCAACTAATCTGAAATAGAAAAAATATCAATGTATTCAAAAAGTAGATGTACAGCACTAGTCGTTCTACAACTCATTTGACTTTTGTATATATTAATGTCACAAAATCAATGTTTTAATTACATGTTCTATTTTTCTGCTACAATGTACTGTACGTCTTGAATTTGAACTGCCTTATAATCAAAGATTTTTTGTCAAAACACTTTGTTTGTTCTTGTTTACTCTTCAACTAGCAAATAAACAGGATGGATAAAATACAATAAAAAGTAAAGAATATCTCATTTCTCTCATGTCAGTGATCTGTTTATAATTTTGATGAGCAACTCTAGCTGTCTCTACTCTTCTCCATACAGTAAGACGGATAAATCCACGAATTGATCGGTTTATCAAAATTCCACAAAAACAGTTTTGGTATTTATTGGAGGCCAGTAATCGGAATCAATGGGTCTCAAAAAAGCCCAATTATGGACAGTATCGTACTCGAAAGTTTTCTCCCAAACACTTATGATTTCACGTATAGATCAACCAAAAATCATAATTCAATTTCAAATTTTTAGCACTATGATCAAGCATTTGAAAATAGAAATAGAATTCTAATATTTGAAACACTGATGAACTTTGAAGAACGATATGCATCTTTGTAAAGATCCTCAACTCTCTCGGATTCGCTAGATAGAAGAGTGAATCAGAATCGTCACATCGTTGATGAGTCATTAGTTTATTGATTTAATTTTGTAGAAATAATTGATTATTGATGATTATATTTAAGAAAAGGGAGGAAGTAGCGCAAAGACGATTTTCATTCAGTTTTTTCTGTCAGTATTAATGACAGGTGAGTCAAAAAGTTTCTAGACAAATTTGTACACTTAGTTCCTCTGTTATTATATAGACGTTCTTTGCAGTGGTGGATCCTGCCGGCGAGCGGTACTTTTAACCAACAAACCGGTTTTTCACAGCAGAATTCTCTTAGAATAATTTGTTTCTATGACGACCGCACGTACCAAAGAATAATTCTGAATCAGTCACTGGTTCTTTGTCAAATTTTATACCAGTTTGTTGCCAGTCTTGTAGTCTTTCGACTGATACATAGAAGTTTTGTGAGGAGCTATTTCACAAAAATGCCGACAAAAAATACGTTAGCTAAGGAAAATTTTAGGAGAGAATGTGAAAAAAGTAGTTCGTAAAAGTTAGCATGGTTGACCCCTGTTTTTAATGAGATTTTGACACTGGATGTACGTGTACACAGTTTCTTTCATCAAAGCTGCCATCAGTGTACCGTAGTTTTTTCTCATAAATCGTACACATTCTGAAAAGCTTGCACCAGTCGATTATAAGAATTTACACGTTCTAAGCGAATCTTAAAGATTTTAAGCTAAAGAAAAAATCGTAACTTGTATGTAACAAGTAAAACACAGTTTTGATTATATAACTGTTGACATCCTGAACGATTTCTTTGTGATAAAACAATGAGTAACAAAACAACAAACTCAGATTTCATTTATGTGTAATTATCTCTTTCTTGATGATTGACTGATGAGGACTCATATCCTCGCTGTTTTACATATAATAGTTTTCTGTTATGTCCCAGAAATGCTATTAAAGACTAAAATGTATGTTTTGTACTAGTTTTTTTCTTCCGAAAATACATCTTCAGTTTTCAAAGTTATGGTGCATTTTGTCGTCACTCACTTCTTTTATCAATTTTTTTATGGAACTACGGCTATTTGAAAATAGATTAATATATCATATTATTCGTCTGATCAAAACTCTTCTTGAAAAATACTTTATTCGTTTTTTTAATAAGTAAACAAAGTCTGACGAGTACTACTTTGTCATCGAAACATTACTAATTTATCGAAATAAATTATTTCTTGCGAAAAGTTTTATTCAATCAGTTTTAATTATCATGATCTTTCTAACTCATCATCAATTGTTCGTCTAAGTAAGTGTTCTTTGATATATAAATATTTCCAGATTTTATTCCTGTCCACATAAATAAAATTTATAGTTCGGCATACAGAAAATTGTTCTCTGGAGACAACAATAGTTTTCAAGCAATATTTCTTGTGTTGTAGATCAACATATTCAAAAGAAAGTAGACTTTAGTATCAGATCAAATATAAAAGACAAAATGATCACAAATCATAAGTTCATGGATCATCGTTATGAAATAGCGTACAAATTGAATCATCCGTAGATATCAGTCTCATTCTGTTTTACTACATAATACAAGAAATGCTGACAATTTTAGATGTGCAACATCTTTGAATATATACGATGATTTAGTGTTTAGAGATGAAAAATTAAACGTACAATATATTTACTGTTATTTTATTATTACATGATTTTCATTAAAAGTTATCAATTTCACATTATCTTTTACATTTGCTTGTCCTAATATTATCGTTAACAAAAGAAACGGTTCTGTGTATTGAATCAGAAATAAACTAGCTTACGTTAAATGCGATATGATCATTATTTCAATGATTAATGATGACTACTCTTTAACACGTTTCCCCCGAAAAAAAATAGTTTCACTCTGTATTTCTCATTTATTGTCACTATAAAAACACATTTATTTAAAACAAACTACATAGTCTGAAAGCTCGTGGAGTTCTCTATCACCCTGTATATTGACTTATTTTCTTGCATTCGTTTATTGAAAAATAATTTGAACACAATGAAGACATCCTCATGTCCAGATTCCCACAGACTTGATTTTTTCTTTGTCGTCAAAAATAGTTTTTAAAATTTTTCGTTACTATAGAATGATCTTTTTGAAAAGACAATTATAGATTCTGATAGAGCTTGAAATTCTCTATCACCCTGTCTATTTACTTACTTTCTTGTATTCATTTATTGAAAAATAATTTGAGTACAATGAAAACTTCCTCAATCGACAAGCACCAAAAATCTACATTTTTTTCGCTGTTTTTTTAATTATTACCCTCAAAGAAATAAATTATATAAAAGAAATTATTCCATTGTTATTGCAACGATGTCATCCTAATTCTCAACAACGTCTTGAACAATTAGTTATTGATACTTGGAATCAAATTTCACAATCTGTAATACTTGGTTATATTGACCATATTCAAGATGCTTGTTATCAGGTAATAGCGACTCAAGGCTGGAAAAGTTTGGGATAAGTAGAACTTTGAATAATCATTAGGACATTATTTCTTTTTTTGTATAAAAATTTGTTATCGTGCTTGGTGATATTGAATTTGAAAATAAAAAAATAAGAAAACAATAAAAAAATGACTTTTTAAAAGAATTTTATCAAAAAATGTCTACATGATATCCGAATAATATCTTAGAAAACGAGTTTAGGGCAACATAATTATACGTAGAATGATAGAGAATTTCATGCACTAACAGTGGAATAATTTCTTTTATATAATTTATTTCTTTGAGGGTAATAATTAAAAAAACAGCGAAAAAATGTAGATTTTTAGTGCTTGTCGATTGAGGAAGTTTTCATTGTACTCAAATTATTTTTCAATAAATGAATACAAGAAAGTAAGTAAATAGACAGGGTGATAGAGAATTTCAAGCTCTATCAGAATCTATAATTGTCTTTTCAAAAAGATCATTCTATAGTAACGAAAAATTTTAAAAACTATTTTTGACGACAAAGAAAAAATCAAGTCTGTGGGAATCTGGACATGAGGATGTCTTCATTGTGTTCAAATTATTTTTCAATAAACGAATGCAAGAAAATAAGTCAATATACAGGGTGATAGAGAACTCCACGAGCTTTCAGACTATGTAGTTTGTTTTAAATAAATGTGTTTTTATAGTGACAATAAATGAGAAATACAGAGTGAAACTATTTTTTTTCGGGGGGATATATTATTGGCAACGATGAATGATCTATAAACAATAGTTAAAAAAGAAGTCTTATTTCGTTAAAAATGTCCGATATATGCTATTATATATTCAATTGATCGTTTAATAAATTTTTTTTCTTTGTTATTTCTCGAACACAAAAAAATTTACCTTTCTCCTCTATTTTTGATTCTTTTTCCACTGTAACTTAAAAACTTACTTTGAACACAAACCGTGATGAATTTCAGTTTAGGGGAGAGGGGAAGATAATTCATTACACGGTTATTTTTTCATTTCTGATAACATTAGATGATGAACAGAGATTTTTCATTCTTTCATTTCTTTTTTCTGTTCAAGATGATTTCATTTGTACATATTTTTATGCTCTTCACTTTCTATTCGTCTATTCACGGTCATAGTCAGAATAACTGTTCTCCCGATGATTTGGAATGTCATGAAAAATCAAAATATCTTCGAGACGAAAATGAAAAATGGAATAAGTACATCCAGCTTATCAATGACGCTGAACAACGACATGTTAATAATACACAAGATGGTACATTCCTGTACATGAGTCAAATTCAGTCCGATTTAGCCTATTGGAAAACAAAACAAGGTAATTAAGTAAGTTTACTTATGTACAGTGGTGAAAAGTTGACTAATTTTATATTTAGATGGTATTACTCGTAATGACATTGAACAATCGTTGACTCAACCAAAACAAACGTTGTATCAAATCATTAATCATCGACTCTATCGTTGTAAAGATGAAGATTTGATATTTCCATTTCGAAATTATGGTGTTGAACATTTTATTCTCAATATTCTTCAAGAATTACCCGATATGGAATTTATTTTGAATACGTACGATTGGCCACAAACATATGTGCATAATTCACAACAACATTTACCTATATTCTCATTCTCTAAAGTTAAACAGGGACAACATTTAGGTAAGTGCTATATATATATATATAAATTTATATTTACTATTTTCATCATTTATTTAGATATCTTGTATCCGGCATGGAGTTTTTGGGATGGTGGTCCAGCATTAGGTAGCGTATATCCAACAGGTATTGGTCGATGGGATTTAATGAGAGAAACATTGAATAATGCTCGAAAAAAAATACCATGGTCAAAAAAACAATCGATTGGCTTTTTTCGGGGTTCACGAACATCAGATGAGCGAGATCCATTAGTGATATTATCACGAGAAAAACCATATTTATTAGATGCACAATATACAAAAAATCAGGCATGGAAATCGGATTCGGATACTTTAGGTATGTATAAATGTATCCTCTTTTTACCATAGAATATAATTTGTTTTCATTTTAGGTGCACCACCAGCATCAGAAATGCGTCACGAAGCATTTTGTCCCTATAAATATTTATTTAATTTTCGAGGCATAGCTGCATCATTTCGTCTTCGACATTTATTTCTATGCGGTTCTCTTGTGTTTCATGTTGGAGATGAATGGATTGAATTTTTTTATCCATATCTAGAACCGTGGTATCACTATATCCCGGTAACGTCTGATTTGAGAGACGTTGAACAATTGTTACTATTTGCACAACATAATGATAAATTAATGGCAAAAATAGCAAAACATGGACGAGAATTTATCTGGAAACATCTGAGAATGAGTGATATTGATGACTATTGGAAACATTTATTAGTAGAATATCAAAAATTATTGAATTATACAACTCCAATTGTAAAACGAAAAGATTTTTATGAAGTAAAGAGACGAAAATAAAATCATTTTAAAAATATTTTAATGTAGTCGACAAACACTCTATCCCAATCGCTTCTTGCGTTTTTCAACTAGATGAATTACACTAATTCCATACCGTTTTTGTTTTTTAAGCTTCTTTTTTTTTTCACATGTTTTTAACAGTCTTTTTAGCCTGGTTGATCATGTCAACATCAAAAGTTATCAAGTTAAATATTTTATACGAAAATATCTGACATATATAAAGACTACCATGTCTTTTTGATTTTCTCAGGAAAGAATGTATTCTTTGTAATAGACGTTATAAAGGTCATTTAGTCTAAATTTATCATCTTTTGTTACAAAGTTCGTCAATTGTTAGTAAGTTTAATACTACATTACGTTCTCAAAATATTTTTATTTCTTTCTGATAGTCTTTAATCTCTCTAGTGATCCAGAATGAAAGGAAACTCGGTACAGAAAATTTTTTTCTCTGACATTTTTGCTCCAAGCTTTTGTTTAGACGTTTTATTATTAATTTTTTGCAATAGAACCGAAACCTGCGTGCAATCTCAATTTTTTTTGTTGAATATATCACGTAACATTCCAATTTATTTATTCCTTTGCAAAAACTGATCTCTCTTACTCTTACATTTTTATGGTGCTATTTTCCTTGCTATTGCTATTTTGGTTATGTGCAATATAGTTGATTTTTTCCTTCACTTTTTTTATTGCTGTTAACAATTTGTTTCTGTCGATGCTAATAAACTATTGCCGTTTTGAAAACTGTAGTCACAGTCACGTTACATGTTATATCAAAATAATAACAATTGTTTGAGATTTATGTTGTTGTTTTTTTGTCAGTTTTCGATGTTTCAGGTTTAACGTTTTGACAATCAAAAGTTAATGAGACAAAATGAGGGCTAATAAACTGAGCTCCGTGCATCTCTGGTACATATTATCTATGAAACATAAATTAGTGTATTAAAATTGAAAGATAATTCAAGGTCACGATTGATTTATGTCATAATATCAATTTGAACAGTTATTAAAAGTTGATTCATTAACATTCGTCATACACAATGATAAAATATTAGATATTATTGTAAAAATTAACTATGTGTAGTTCAAAATAAGTAATATTTTGTTGTTGTAGACAAATACACTTGTTAATGTCAAAAAAAAGGTATACAATAGATTGAGGAAAGGCAATTAACGATGATTAATAAGGGCAAAAAACGAATATCGGATTTTTAAAATTATTTGACTATTATCCAATATCAATACAACTGCAGACAAACTTTAAATGACGTCAATCATTGACTATATAACATACAAGATGTACTGTTACTCTGCGTGAGATATCATCGATTACCACTAATAATAAACCAACAATCCATCACTATCTTATGGTAGAATCAGTTATTAACTATCATCACTGTTAACAGTTTCCGATATTCATTTATATTGATTGTATACGTTCATATTGTTATATGTTTATCATTACTCTTAGTTTCAAAAGATTGTTGATATTTTTCCGAATGTTTGTGTAATAAATTGACTGTCATTTGGTTTGTAAATCTTTCTTATGAAATCCTCATTGTCTTCTAACGAGGAATATAAATAAATTCTTCGCATTTTTATAACAAACTTGATTTTTAATCATGTAAAAATATATCCAATGAACGATGAAATGAGAGTTAATATGACGAAAGCTGTACTCGGCTGCAGACATTTAGGGATGTTACAAGACTCTTATTTGTTTTCTTCAACCTTTGTCCTGACTCTCGGAAGTCTGACTAAATGGCATTTTCTTTGAAAGACATACATTGTGTATGTTTATCCACAAAATTGGCGAGCTTTGTGAGAGTTTTGCTTGTAATTCTGTATTCGTTCAGTACCAAACTCCTTATCGATTCAGAGTCTAGGTTTGGTGGGAGATTATTTCGGCATACGCAGAAGAAAGATTTTGTCTTTTCGTTCCTTCACACTGCGCACTTTTTTCTAAAGATCAAAAGACCTGAAGACATTTAAGAAATAGCGATTGAAATTTGCTTTCATCTAATATGTAAAATAAAATCCACCGTACTGGATTATAAACATGTTCTCAACCTAATGAAAATTAATATCTCGATGTCTTTTCTTCGTCCACACTGATGAATTTTGTTTAGTATCTTGTCAATGAATAACGGTTTTTTTAGATAAATAGATGAATATCTCGATAATCTAATTTTAATGTTGTTATTGGTATTAATTGTGTTATATCCGAATGACATATATAGTCGAGAAACCTCGATGAGAAACGATTGTCTAACTCATAAAATAAATAAAAATTTGTTCAAGTCGGAAATACCGGGATTGATTTCACTGGCGGGCCGGAAAAGATTTTTTAGAGAGGGAGGGGAGGGGGCAATAAATTTTTAGAGTAGTACATACACAAACTATAAAAAAAATAATAATAAAAAGAAAAAAATATATACAATTCGAAATATAATTCTTCACAGATAATTCTTGATATTTTTTTCCAGGAGGGGCAATTGCCCCCAATTGTTCTGCTGACGGCCCATCAATTATTGATTCAAAATGAGTTTATATACACATGTGCCCAAAATTATTCATACAGCATGTAGTTTCCGAGTAAATGAATCATAACTTTTTAACGAAGGAATATTTCGGGATGGGCTTTTCATCATTCATATGCTTTTTCTCGCTCAATAAAAATTTTGAAATGATACGAGTGATAGCGTTCGATAGCTGGCTTCCTTAGTAACATTCCAGAAACAAAAATGTGTTCAAAGCAGATCGTCTTGGCCACTAGAAGTCGACTCTAACCGCCGAGCGTTCAGTTCTTTAAGTGAAAAGTGAAAGTATCTCGAGCATGAGAAGATTTAAGAACTTTTTGAATATTCCATTGAAGAGAGCGAAAAAAACTGAGTAGAGAATACACTCATTTAAGAAATAAGATGACAATTTTTTACATGTTTTTCAAAGTATTCTTTGAATTAGTACATGCGCGAGATTTTATTAATTTCGCTTTGTCTCCTCAGTCTCTCATCGAAAAAGTTTTTTTCTTGTACAGGATTGTAGACGAGGGTCCGGTCTTTAAAATGGAGTTCTTCTCCGTCCTTGATCACATTTTCTGCAAAAGGTAAAAGCAATTCATTGAGAAAGATTTACGGAAGAATGAAACGCCACCAATACTGATATAACCGAAACACCCGTAAATTCAGTTCAAAATCGAATGGAGAAATGCCAGAAACAAAAAGGCTATCCAATACGGTATCCAGATGTTTTCTAAAATTTGAAGACTTTAAAAAATGAAGAAAAGATTTTTCATGAAGTGTCAAAACAGTGCTGGACCACTAAAAAATTCAAATTTTTTGTTTATTTTGTTTTACAAGACTAAAACCATTTGAAATTTCAAATTGATTCTTTTTACAGACTAGACACGCCAAGGAATAGTTTGGTAAAAAGCCCATGCCGAAATACTGCTTCCTTAAAAAGTTATGATTCATTTACTCGGAAACTACATGCTGTACGGATAATTTTGGGTGCATGTGTATCTAGTTAGAACAACAAGAATATCAGTATATAAGTAATAATTTCATTTCTTATTTATCGGAGCAGCAGACAATATAAGTCTTTCAAATTTCACTCGCTTAACTTTGAAAGTGTAAAGGGGTTGGCACATTAAAAGATTGACCCCAAATAGAAGTTCGCTAGCCTCCCGTCCTTTTCTCCCTTCTTTGCTAGAAATATACATTTTCTCATAAAAAGAGTGATACTGAGCTAAGCACGTGGTTCGATAGCCGAAGGTGTCTAATCGTGAAATTTATGCTATTTTTGCTAATATTAAAAGTGCTGGAGATTTCTGGTGAAGTTTTCTAAAAAGCCTAAAAAACTGATTCTTCTGAAATTTTAATATTTTAAGTAAACTGCTGGAATCAAAAAGGTTTCCAGTTTGTAAAGCAATCATTTTTGATTAAAACCCGAAGTTTTCCAATTTCAAGCAACGCTTCAATCAAAAGTTATGACAGTTTTACTATAAGTTCTAATATTTGTACCATATTTTAAAATCGGTTTTCTCTTCATCGTTCTAACAGTTCTTCAAAAGTCTTAATAACCTTAGATGATACAGAGCTCGGGGTAATTTTGTTCTTGTAGAGAAATATTGCCACTTTAACTATATAGAGAGCCGAATTTTGAGTTTCGTTTCGGTTGAGAAAAGCCAAGGATTTTAGAAAAACCTGGAAAAACTTTTAGGAATTTTGACAAAAAATGTTTCGTGTTCGTCAGTAACACAAAACTTCAAAAATCTGACTCTGTACTGTCAACATGATAGCTTTTTTCTACGAAACAAAACCATCCGGAGCTCTGTAGTACTTAATATGAGTGAGATTTTTGGAAAACTTTAACTGTCCCGTACTGTTATGGCGAGATCTTGTGAACGAAGATAGAGCAAAAAATAATTTTTCTTTCACATTTTAACATGGTCAATATTTGCTGCCAGTTTGATCCAGATCGGACTTACAGTTACTGAAACAGACTTTTGCTAGGACTGAGGACTCCTAAGTTCAAGCCCTTTTAAATGAGACATTTGGGCATTTTTTATTGTTTTTATGTCGTACGCAATAATGTAATAATGCATAATCTAGTCTAGAGCCCAATCCATAAAATGTTGAAAAATTGAGATCAGTTTAGTTCAAAGGCACTCTGAACTCGATTGAACTCACGAACATCTCTGCTATGCTCACTGATAGACAGTTCTCCGCACATATACGACTCTTCAAAAAGGTCTGTATTTTTATCTTTTTGGTGTCCTTCCTCACTTTTTGATATGGTATTTGACCTACGATTCAAATGTTAAAGGTTTTGTGTATGTTGATCATGGATAGCCCATGCGATAATTTCATCACTCGAACGAAAGGTCTAACGCACTCAAAAATTTTTAAGAAAACTCAAGCACCCCTCCAGCACGTGGGAACACATTCCCTTTCCGATTTTCTTTCACTCTCGATTAGTTTTCATCGGATAGATCCTGATACCCACCCAGCAAGATCTGTTAGTACTGTACCTCAGTACTAGGTCAGGCTACTTCCTATAGAAAGAGAAGAAACTTAGTTAAAACATTTTTTCTATAAAGGCGTTCTAAGACATTCCTTATATATATTCTATCGTGTTGGAGCACGTGAATGGATCAGTCGAACATGTGTTAAGTTATTAAGTATGATTCAAAGTTTTTTTGAAGACTGCATCCCTCTCTCTAGGGATCTCTTATATTTGATTATCTGTGCTTGTTTTATTTCGATATTTCACATTTACTAAATTTACATAAAGTTCACGCTTTGATTTTCTTTTTTTCTGTCTTCCTTTTGCTCTATTTATATAAAAAATTCTGTTTTCTGTAAGATAAATCTGTTTTTATGGATCTTGCTGATATAAACCGTTCATTAACGCGTATTAACTTCTGAATTCAAAACTTTATTCTAAATGCGTTAGGACGCATCAACATACTAAAAATTTAAAGAAACGCATTTGAATCAGTTAGACATTCAAACATTTATGACTCGTTCGAGCGAGTTTGCATTTTAACGAGTTGACAAATTTGTTTTCACCATGTTATTTTATAAATTTCCTTCCGAACGCACTGAAACATCGGGTGATAAAATTCTCTCATGAAAAAATATTGTGGATTCTTCTACTAAGTAATTTGTAGTGGATGGTTGACCTAGGTTATGTGGAAGGGCAAATATTTGTCTCAATGTCCTTGACTTCTTGATGCAGTTCTATTTTTCCTACGCTGTTATTATCATCTGATTACTTTTGCACAAATATTATGTATATACATCATTATCATTTTAATGACAAAACAAGAAAACAATATCCAGTATTTTCATGTAAATCCAGAAGTGTCGAAACTCATGTCATTTCAAAATAGATTTGAGAGAAACTGCAAAGTCTTAAAGAATTGTCCTAGCTGTCGTCGTGAACATTTATTCTTTATTAGTTTGCCAGAAATAATGCCAACAAAATATAGGGTAAACATCAATTACTCACCAACAAATACGTGGTGTTGACAAACTTCAGAAATAAATATTTCGTCGTTCTCATAATCATCAACATAATAAAATGAATAACTTGTAGAGAAAAGAACCAAATAGCAACTCGTAATCAATATATCATTAATACGGTGCTGGCAAATTCCGATCATACTTAAATCTCAAAACTAGCTTTAAACTTCAGATCTTGTGTGAGTCTACGCCTGATCATATACTGAGCAGATTCCTACCAGTATGAGCCTCTTTTAGTGAATGGTTCGTGTAATAAGCAGAAAGACGGGTATAAACAGCTAACAGTCATCCTCTTTGCCATATATTCTGCAGTTAATATGTATCTTAATTACGGGTTTACATGATTTGAAGTTCAAAACTATCATGATTCTCACAATCCAGGGGTGAACTTTATTTTGACTGTAAAAGTCTAGGATTATCACGAAACTAATTTGGTCAAATTGAAGAAAATAGGAGAAACAGATTGTACAGTTTGGATAACATTTTAAGTAAAAAAACAACAACAATGCGATTTATCGGGTCAAGAGGGAAGTGTTATAAATATTTGAAATGTCCCATAACTTTATATAGCTATTACCTACAATGAATTCTGCCTAGTTAAAACCTGTAGTATTGCAACAAAAATAAATAAAACACTTTTAGTCTTTCATATTGCTCACCGAAAAAGCATATCCTACGCTAATATATCTTAAATATTTGAATTAGAGAATCGATTATAATTATTAATATCATCCGATTTACGATTCGAATATAAATTGTGAATTTTCTGTGGTGATTCTGCAATCGTTGGAATTTGAAATTTTACGCGTCCATTTGGTTGAGATAAACGTTTTGTTGATCTATCGTTTATCGGCGTTTTTGCATTTCTACTTAGAATAACTAATGGTCGAACATTACTCGGTGAATTGGTAATTGAAACATTATGACTCGTTTCGCCTGATGATGCACGACGATCAAATACTACTTCAGCATTATCGGAACGATCATCATCCGACGTTATACTTGTTGCTGCAGGGAAGTTTTCTTGATATTCTGTTAGAATGTTATTGCCGTTTGCGTCTTTTTGTTTTGGCGTTACAGCTGCTATTGCTTGCATGAGAGCACTACGTATGGTGTCTTTATCGACACGTTGAAATATATGTTGTTTATAGAGATGAGCATTACGACATAAATGTAACATAGCAATATCACAAATGACCGTTGCTAAACCGAATATACCGATGATACTGCCAATATTCAATGTTAACGTAATAATGTCGAATTTACCACCTTTACCACTGACACTAATGATAAATCGGAGACCAAAGGATTTCGTTAATATACGATAGGAACGATTATCACTCTTCCAATGAGACGCATATCTAAATAAAAAATGTATTTTTGAGAATACAAACGATATGTTTTATGAGCCAATTTACAATGAATGATAACTAAAACTTTTCAAGAACCTTCTCAGATTTTCCACGATATCTCGGTATATGTTACCAATTTTCAGTTAGCTTCACTGCTAATCATTCGTATCTTTCAGTCCTGTATTCAGTATATATCATTTTTAACAAAAATAAACCAATCTCTAACTACAAGCAACTGCTGGTGATTTAAGGGGGGGGGGGGGNCCCCCCCCCCCCCCCCCCCCCCCCCCCCCCCCCCCCCCCCCCCCCCCCCCCCCCCCCCCCCCCCCCCCCCCCCCCCCCCCCCCCCCCCCCCCCCCCCCCCCCCCCCCCCCCCCCCCCAACCATTCACAAATCTGGCCTCAAATTATGCCAGTTTGTAGGGTATGTTGAGTACTATGTATCTTCAAGAAATTTCGGCGGTCCTATGAATATTGGTGAAATGATGAACTTTTTAATGGTCAAGATTTTCGATCTAACAGCTGATTTTCAATATCTCAAAAGTCATTTAGGAATAATGACAAAAATTTGGTCCAAGTATGTTTAGATGCACAATTATTCATAGTTATTATGTTTCTAAAAAAGGAAGAAAAAATTTCTATCTAACAGACGTTTTATAATTTTTTTTTCTAAAACTGATGTCAGTTCAATGTAGCCTGGTCGTCTGCATTATTTTTTTGTTCAACCTCTTTTGCTCAAATATAACGAATAATATATCATTCGAATCAGCTACTCAAGCACTACAAAATTCTGTATTTTGTTTTTTAATTTGTCATGGATGAGGATTTTTTTCGAGATTTTTTCATACATGGGCTTTTATATGAATTAAAAGTTCATATATTATTAAAAAAGAATGTCGTTGGCTATTTCTTTAATAACTTTTGAACAATGCACTTTGAAGACTTGCGGTTTTCTGCATTACATAGAAAAGATAATTAGCTACGAGCTGACATAAAAATATCTCAGAAAATATCACCTGCAGGTAGTATACTTTGTTAGTCTTTGAAAGAATAGGTCGTGGTTCGAAGACCTACCAGAGTGACCCATGTATTTCTCATATAAATATGATAGTCTAAAATGTCCTCTACAAAATGGAAATTAAGCGATGTCTTAATCTTTCGGGGTTTAGGCGCGGTATCAGATTCAGAGCATGGATACGTACAAGTATAAAAGTAAAAGTAAAAGTATTTGTACTCTAGAACAGTACCTGTACTTTTATTTGTATACTTTCAACAAAATACTTTGTACTTGTACTATGAGCATATTTATTATCGTTAACGACGGAACCTCGCCAGCCTGGGAACAGAGTGGGACACGGTGATCCACTCTGTTTAACCTCATATTTTGCTGATCGATAGGGCGCATTAGTGTAACAAAACGCCTAAATGGATTCGGGCCCATGCGGCTTCCTTCCCTAGCAATCGTCACTAGTGAAATTTCCGTTTTTGGTATTTTCACTGTAAAGCACTATTCGAATGGGTTAAAGAGCTGAAACTCGCAGCAATATTAGTCCTAAGCAAAGCCCGTATGCTGCGAAATTTTCTGACCTTGGTCT